CTCTTAGGAGAAGAAAAGGCCCATATTGGCAGAAGAATTAGGCTGTGGTCATTTGGTCAAGGAATACTGTGGTCCTGGATACCTGGAACATGGACTACAGTAAGGAGTAGTGGCCCTAAAAAAGGATATTCTTTTACTACCTAAGACTCATTGACAGTAGACTGAGCTGTGGTTACAGAAGGACAATACTGGAGCCCCTGGAAGAAAGGACTCATTTTTCTTCTCTCTAATTATGGCATGACTTCCACCATATGCTTATATAATATTTGGAAAATCTTGTTATTCTCATCTGTAGGATGAATATAATATTTACTCAACCAATTATTATGCGCATTAAAGAAAATAATATAATTTTTAGAAAATCACATTAGGAGAAATATCTAATGTAGATGATGGGGTAATGGATGCAGCAGATCACCATGGCATGTATACACCTATGTAACAAACCTGCACATTCTGCACATATACCACACAACATAAAGTATAATAAATAAATTTAAAAAAAATAGCATACTACATTGTCTAATGCATGCAATAATAGGAGTTACAATTCTTTCTTCCTCTTTTTGATACTACATTAATATCTTCTGGAATCTTAGATTACTCGTATAATGTATTGCTTGTGTTGTTTTATATAGCAAGACTAATCTCAGTACTTAATTCTCAAGGTTTGCATAATGAATACATGATATAATATGTAAAAATTAAGTAATAAGAGGTCAATAAGTGGTATAAAAATAACCAATATATGATGTACTTAATCAAAAGAGAAAATCTCAACTTGGAAAAATGTAAGTGGAATTCATAGCTGTCTTAGACTACTTGTCTAAATATCTAAAATATCAGATCTATCTAAATATCTAAAATTTAGATATAAAATATCAGATCTATGTAAATATCTAAAATATCTAAATATCTAAAATATCATAACTGTCTTAGACTACTTACATAAATATCTAAATATCTAAAATAACAAAATATCTAAACTGAGAAGCTTATGAATGCAGAAATTTATTTCTCATAGATCTGGAATATGCAAAGTCCAAGATCAAGCACTGACAAACTCCATGTCTGGAAGAACCTGCTTTTTGGTTCATAGATGGTGTGTTCTTGCTGTGTCCTTGCAGGTAGAAAGGCCAGGCAACTCTCAGGGACCTTTTTAAAATAAAGGCACTAATCCCATTTATGATGGTTCCACCCTCACAATCTAATCATCTCACAATGACCCCACCTCCCAATACAATCACGTTGCTGATTAGGTTTCAGCGTATAAATTTTGGAAGGACACAAATGTTCAGAACATAAGAATAACTATTTAGGAGTGTTTAGGTGGAGCATTGTGATACTTTTTGTATTAAACTTTTTTATTATTTTATCTAGAAATTCATGTTTTTCATAGTTTTAATCACTTTTGATTATATACAGATGCAATTAGGAAAACTCACCAAAAATTTGTCATATAATATCAAAAAATATGTACCAGGGAGTTTTATGCTGGTCCAACTCTCAAATGTTCTGCTTTCCTCTTGACCTGCATAAGCAGATTGCATCTTGCATGTAAGTTGGCCTGGATATGTAAATAGAGCAAGATCTATTTGCATTTATTCTGAAGGCTATCTGACTCATGATAAAATAAGGGTAATGGTGGAATTTTGATGTTTAATAAGAATCATCAAAAGAGTGAAATACTCTCCTCAAGTGAGTCCTGAATACTCTCATTTATGCATCCTACTTACATGCATGCCAAAAATTGCAAAACTCTGTGATTTATATTTTTCACATCAGCTTTATTTAACCACTGCTTCTGCTAGCATGCTCACCACACACACCCAATATCAATGAAACTATGTATGTATTTCTAAGCACTATATTCGCCACACTAGTCTAGAAAGTTTAGTGAAACTTGATTCATGAAAAACTCTCCGATACTGATGTTTTGACACTTGGCCTATCATAATACAAAGTTATCAAATTCACATTGTTTATTTGAGAAGGTATCTTAGTTGCTTTTGAAAAAGTCAATAAATGTGATATGGAATTTATTTAGTTGTAGCAACAAGGTTTAATGAAGAGCATTGAAGTACAGGTGGGAAAGCGAAAACAACTGTTAAGATTTTCAATTTGTCTCCAACCAAGTTTTCCCAAAGTAATTAACTAATACGTGTTTTTCTAGGTTCCTTTTTAATGAAGAACGTTTACCGTCTTTAACCAATGTTTCTATATCATGTGAATATATTCTAAAATGATAAAAACATATGGCTATGCATTACTTATTTTTTAAAAATATGCATAACATGTAATACATTATTTTATTTATGTAAAGATGCTTTACCAATAAATAATTCAGTTGATGATTATTTTTTGAAAATAATAACCACTTAATATTACAACTTAAAAATAAATGTAATAGTCAAATCTATTGTGCTATAAGTGAAAAAACCTTTTGTCTTTCTTACTATTCTTATAAAACGCATAAAGAGGAAAATGGTTTACACATGACAAGAAGACCATTATTTCTACAAAGTTCAAAGTTGAAAATGAACTTAAAAATATAGCTCAACTCAAAAAAGCCACAACTGAAGTATGAGTATAAAATATATGATTACTTATCTAGGTTTTTTACTCCATACTGTATTAACAGAAACTTAAAAACATTCCTCAGATATGGTTAGGCTAATGTATTCTCTGTTATTTTATAGGCATTTTATTACACATACATTCATATATGTTATGAGCACTTCATCCAGAAGAAACTATAAAAACGTATATTAAAGTGCTTAAAGAATGAGAACATAGTATGGGAATCTACATCTTTGAAAAAATAAAGTTAAAAAAAGACAATTTCGGATAACTGAACATAGAGAAAATGTAGCCCCAAATAGACTGCATACAAGAAATACTGAAAGAAGTTATTCAAGGGGAGGGAAAATTACACCAGATTGAAAACCCAGAACTGCAGGCAAAACAAAATAAAAATAGTAATGTATGATATGGCTTATGATATTTGAAGAAGTAAAATATGCATCAATAAAAACACAAATTATCTGGTGAAAGGAAGTTAATGATAAGTAACTATTAGAATAATCAACTATAATCAGCTAAATATGTGTATTGTAATCTTTAGGACTACTATTAAAAATATAATGCAGAGGTGGAACAATAATGCAAATAGAGAATATTAGAAATGATACCAAAACAATTCTCAGTTTATCTAGAGAGAATGGGTGATATAACCAATAATTGCATTAAAATTAATGGACTAAATAGCCTGGATAAAATGCAGATATTTTTAGCCTGGATGAAAATCAAAAAAAATAAAATGAAACAAATCCAACCAAACAAGAATGTGTAATTTATAAGAAGCATTCTTAATATAAGATATTGGAAGGTTTAAAGTAAAAGGGTGAAAAATTGTATGATATGCAAGTGCTGAGCCTAAGAAAAGTGGGGGAGCTGTAATGAATCTCAGGCAAATTATAACTCTAGATAAAAATCATCAGAAATAAAGGGGGCCATTTTAATATCATAAAATTGCCAATTCATCAGGAAAGCATATAAACAATAAGCATTTATTTATCTAATTATAAAGCTTCAAAATAAAGAAAAAGTAAAACCCTAAAGGAGCAATAAACTAAGTCAATAAATTTAAATGATTTAATTAATACTGCGAGATTTCTGGTTTCTGGTCTGGAATGTAGGAAGTTTGAAAGTCATCACTGCAACTTCACCACAAAAAAAAAGTTGAAAAAAACCACTAAAAATTGATGACTCTTTTTAGATCCATGAGGTGAGGATACGTGAGGTCAGAAAGCGAAAAACTGACTGAAATATTGGAAGATAGGTGGAGGTAGAGAATCATGGGATCCTGGAGCAGAATCCCAGGCACAAAAACTGTGGGATCCGGTATGGGGGTAGGAAATCCCTAACTGCAGTTGACAGATTGCCAGAGGTTCATTGTGGACAAGTTTGAGAGTTAACTCTTGCTGAGGGTACTGGAAAAACAGGCAGAGAGAGTACACATTGTATACATTCCACTGACATCTATCCTACATTCTATTTATGCTAGAACAGGAAAGACTCATCTGTGGTGACAGAAATCAGAGCAGTGGCTATGAGAATTGGGTGAACTAACTAATTAGGCAAGCTTATGCAGGAACTTTCTAAGGTGAAGAAAACAACATAAAATTTAACATGGGTGTAGGTAACATGGGTGAATATACTTTTGGCAAACTTATTAGACAGCATACTTAGGATCTTTACATTGAAAAGTATATAAGCTGTACTTCAATAATAAATTTTTAAAAATTAAATGAATACACATCTAACTGTATTACTGCTTACTCTTTCTATAAGTAAAAATGTTAATTAATTAATCAAAGGCCTAATTCCACAATGCATTACCCCAACATGGCTCTGTCTGTGTAAGTGTATGTATGTATGTGGTTGCGTATGTGTGGAAAGAGAAAGAAAAGGGGAAGGAGAGAGGGAGGGAGGGATGGGCAAGGAAGAGAGAGGTGAAGAGAGAAATATACTGTAAATAGAAATATAAAACAACTTTGCCATATTGCTGAACTTCAGGAAAGTTACTTAAGTCTTCATTCTCCCACAGGGAAAAGGCAATGTACTTATTAATGAACCCAGCAGTACTATCATTTTCAATCAATATAGCAAAGCAGAGAAATATAGTCAGAGGTGAATGCAGAAACTAAAGGCAAAGAATGTTGAATTTGAAATGCAGGGTAATTGACCAACACAGTGAAAACCCATCTCTACTAAAAATACAAAATTAGCTGGTCATGGTGGTGCATGCCTGTAATCCCATCTACTTGGGAGGCTGAGGAAGGGGAATTACTTGAAACCAGGAGGCGGTGGTTGCAGAGAGCCGAGATCGCGTCACTGCACGTCAGCCTGGGAAACAAGAGCAAACTCCGTCTAAAAACAAAACAAAACAAAAACCCACAAGAAATACAGGGTAACTGATAATATTCTCCACAAAATACCTGAAAGCTTTGCATCAGTTTCCCTTCCATTTTTACATGATTCTCCCCCTTTCTGTAATAAGAATTCCCAGCTAGATTTTAGGAAAACAAGGCACAGAGGAAGTCGACAGATAGTTGCATTAGCTTTTCTATTTCAAGCTGTCACAGCTGCAAAATTGTTCAATGTAACTCTACAGGGAGTGCTACCCAGCTATGCAAATGAATTCCAAATGTGACATTTGCCAGCATGGTGGTGGTGGCTGTGAAGGCTGGGTGACTGCCATCATTCTGTCTGATGGATTGACTCATATCACTGAGGAGCCAGCCATCATTGATTTCTGCCTTTCCATCACATCACAGTGACCTTCTCCCTGCAAGGAAGGAAAGGAAAAAAAAAAATGAGTGGACAACATAAAAGAAGTACCGAGTCAAAGAGAAAGTTACAGTGTTCCTTCCTGCATTTATCTCTCCTACTCTCAAGTGCTTTCATTATTATATTATTGCCCTGCACCAAGTCATTTCATTTTACCCTCACCATATTCCATACTTACACAGTAGTAGAACCAGATTAATAACTAGCCCTCATTCTTCCTCTGTCTTTATTATGTGATTTGGTTTATCATTGCTTAATTGGTTTTTTGTCATATTTTTAATGTACTAATTAAAAAATAGAAATTAAATAGAGAATGATATTCTAGTATGATATGAATCTAAACCACGTAGGTAGAAATATAAAAGTATTGTCAGTACTCTTTCACCAAGAAAACCCTGTGTTATGTTACTTTCACTTTTGTCAGAAAAAGCCCACTTCTGTTAGTAAAATAATCCCTGTTACTGCATGAGACTATCTGGTGGATAGGAGGTGACAAGGGAGAGGAAGTAGTGTCAGAAAAGGGGATAGAATTAAGGGATCAAAAATGCCCCAAAGATGTTGATGTACCTAGAATCTAAAGTATAGTTTGCACTAAATGTTTTTGTTCTCTTACTCTTCTCTGTCTGAACTGGCCTAGGTCATCCTCCTATAGAGAAGCAGATTTTTGTAGAAAAATTATACACTGTAATAGTTTAAGAGTTATCCTTCTTGTTAAAGCGTTATAGAAGAAGGCATCGATTCTATGTTGTCAGGACAGATGTGCAAATACATTTCAGCTTTTTCCTTGGATATTTACACTGATGCCTATGACTCCTTTGAAATTCTTGACTGGGTTTGTTTAGAATATCCTTTCCTCAGTGGTGTTCAGTTGTTAAGTAAAATATAGTAACAACAGAGAAGACTTAGGGTAATTTGGTTGGAGAATAAAATTTAAAAATATTCTTATGCTTAGAAGATTCTCTAAGTAAAAGACATTCATGTACAGTTGAAATGTGGTTGTAGCTATAAGATACACGTTAAAGGACTCAAAGATTGACAGCAGTGCTAAGTAGCCTCTTTCAGCTAGGGTTATCAAAAGGGCTTCCAGGAATCATTGGGGCCTTGTCTGCAGCTGTCTCACAGGAGGACCAAAGCATGAAAGAATCTACTTCAGAAAGAATTATGGGTCTGGCTTTGGGACATTATGTGAATTCTGGTCAGATTCATAGGAAACTCACAAAGATTTTATAAATGTTGTATGAAAGAAAACTCCACAACTAGCTTGAACTAAAAGGGACAGAGATTGCTTGTCATAAAAAGGAGAATCTGGGCCTTCAAACTTTTATTGTCAGGAAGCAAAATGAGAGCACTCAGTGGCAAATTTAAATTGTTTTTCCATCTTCATTTTCAATCAACTTTATTGAATGTGTGTGTATATATAAACGTGTGTGTATGTGTGTATATATGCCGATTATACTTGAACAATTCACTGAATTTTGTCAACAGTATAGACCCATAAAACCACTGCCACAATAAAGATACAGAACATTTCCATTTCCCTAAAAGTTTGTTTTTGCCAGGTAATCTTCATCAATGGTGGATAAGATAAAGAAAACGTGGTACATGTACACCACAGTATACTATGAAGACATATAAAAGAGTGAAATCATGTCCTTTACATATAGCTACATGGATGCAGCTGGATGCCATTATCCCAGGCAAATAAACACAGGAACAGAAAGCCAAATACCACATGTTCTCACTTATAAATGGGAGGTAAACATTGAATACACATGGACACAAAAGAGGGAACAATAGACACCTGGGCTTACTTGAGGGCAGAAGGTAGGAAGAGGGTAAGAGTCGAAAAACTCATTATGGGATATATGCTCACTACCTGAGTGTTGAAATCATTTGTTCATCAAACTGCAGTGACATGCAATTCACCAGTATCACAAACCTGTGCATATACCCTCTGAATCTAAAACCATAGCTGAAATTATTAATAGATAAATAAGTAAAAAAAAAAAAAGTCAGTAAATAAATAAATGTTAGCATATACAACTAAAAATAAAGTCCAGTTTTCAAGGACCATAGGATGATAGCCTATTCTTTTCCCCATTAAATTACCTTAGCTTCTATCCCCTTAAATATCTTTGAGTGAACACACTTGATCACGTATATGCAGGGCAACTTCTGGGCAGTCATTTTATTAAAATTAATTGACCCTTTACATTTAGCTCTATTTCTGAACTCACTAGTTTTTTTCCATTGGATTACTTGTCTATTCTTGGCAATGTAACACTATCTTCATTACAACAGCTTAATGTAAGTCTTAAAGTCAAGTACTGAAGTCCTCAAATTTTGTTGTTATCCTAAAGAGTGTTTTTCATACATTTTGTAGTGAGTCTGATAATTTCTTTACCAAAACAATTGCCTGTTGGGGTTTTAAAGTTACGTTTAATATTTACATCTATTTGGTCATAAATTACATCATAATAATTTTGAGCCTTCCAATACATGAATATAATATGTTTTGCATGTACTAAATTCTTTTAAAATTTCTCATACCAATATTTTAAATATTCATCGTATACAACTAATTTGGTCAACGCATTCTAATGTGTATTAATTTTTGAAGTTATGATAAATTATCTTCAATTCCATATTGTTTATTTTTAGTATACAGAAATACATTTGAGTTTTGCATATTGATCTTATAGCATGATTCAGCTAGATGTGCATTTATAGCTGTTTATAGCTGACTATAGCTGTTTATGGGTTTGCTAAGATATTCTGCACATGTATACATAAGAGCAGTGAATAAAAAGCTAACTTCTTTTGTAACCTGTATCTGTAAGGATTTTTCTTTTCACATCGCACTGATTAAGAACTCTAGTACAATGTTGTATGAAAGTGTGAACATAGACATCTTGCCTATAAAATAGAAAAAAATCATTCAGTATTTATAGTATGATGTTTCATACAGGTTTTTTAGATGAATTTTATCCAGTTAAAGATGTGTTTATTTTTTATCTTACTGAACTTTTATTTTATGTAATAAATTAATGTTAAATTTTGTCAAATGTATTTTCTTAATCTGTTCACATTATATTTTTCTCCTATAGGCTTTTATCTTGGTGATTTGCCTTTATTACTTTTTAGAACAGTGGACAAATCTTGCATTTCTGTGATAAACTGCCTTGATTATAATATATTATCCATTTTATGTATCAGTGACTTCAATGTGATAACATACAGTTAAAGATCTTTTTCTTTTATGCTAATAAGTGATCTAGGCCTGAAGTTCCTGTGTAATGCCTTTATCTGGTTTTAGAGTCAGAGTAATATTTGTCTTATAAAAAGAATGAGAAGTGATCCCCTCTATTCTCTCTTCTGGGTAAACAAAGAATGTATAAAATTAATACCTTTTTTCCTTAAGCATTTAGGATAATTCACCAACATCTCAGCTTAAAGTTTATTTGGGAGAAAAATGTTTAATTACTTACACAATTTTCATAGATATATGGCTATTTATTAACAGATATCGACTATTTGAAACCTTATCTTTTCAAGGAATTTGTCTATTTTATCTAAGCTGCGGAATGTGTCCTAAAGATTTCCATGACATTCCTCTTTCTATTTTTGATATTCACACAGGCTACAGCAATATTCCAACTGCAATTCCTAATACCGGTGTCTTGTATCCTTACTTTTATTTTCCTGATCAGTCTGTACAGATAATTGTCAATTCTATTGATCTTAATGGAAATTAATGAAGCTGTGCTTCTTTGTTTTTCTTTTTTCTGCTTTTCATTTCTTTGACTTCTGCTTTTATATGTTTATCTAATCACTGTTTCTTTTTAATTTTTTTCTTCCTTTTCTTATTATCAGGTGGAAGGTTAAATTATTGTTCCAATGCCTTCATAATTCTATATAACTACAATGAACTTCGAATTGATTTTATTATATAATGTGCAAAAAAGTCAAAGCTTCTTTTTAAATATTTTTCTATGTAAATGTGCTGTTTTCCAATGACCACTTTTCCCCCTCATTGCTTTCTTGGCTCCTAGTGAGAAAAACTTGACTCTATATGTATGGACAGTTTCAGTTGTTCTATAGGCAAGAACTGCACTGTGTTTATGGAAAACAAATCCACCTAAAGAAAAATTGGTCTTCTAAGCACCAAAAGAGGTGGAAGATTTAATCCTGCCTTTCCAGCTCTGCTTTATTCAGAGGCAAGGGGGTCCCTGTTTTTTGACAGAAAGCATGTCAGGGCTCTTGTCTTTTCTATTCTGATTGTTATTCATTTCAGAGTTTTCAAACCAATTTTTTTTCTTCTTTCTGTACCACATACGTTGAAATCTTCAAATTGTTTTAAGAGAGAGAATGGTTGTGTCTTTGATATGGGTGTCTTCCTGTAATGTGACTACGTATGCATAGGCAGTGGGAATATTGCTCTAAATTTCTGGTCCAACCCTCAAGCCTCCATAGACCCATCCCTCAGATAATGTTCCATGGAATACATTATGATACCCTTGGAATCTTTTAGATTTTAATTTGCCACTTTGCTTATAACATTATCAAATGCTATTGTTATTGTTAATATAATATGAATGGTATCATTTTGCTTAATTATTACCCTCAATGACTACATATATAGTTAAATATATCATTTTTGGCATAAAACACTACATAAGCGAAAAAAGACAATAAAATTGGAATACATCAATTATCTGAAGGATAACTTAGCCAAGAGGCTAAATTTTGGTAAATTTTCTATTTTGTAAAAGCCCTCTGCATCTAGTAAAGAATAAAGCTAACAATCTTGTCCATCCAAAACATAGTTTTCATGAGATCCATGACCACTGAGCCACAAAATAAGTGTCACAGTGTAAATTCCTTAGAGTATATGCACTTTACTTGTATTTCTACCTGGCTTTTTTTTCATCCAATTCTTGTTGGTTTACACA